AAACCTTAACAGTTCAAAATCTGTAGTAGATGTAGAGGTGACATGTATATATCTTTATGAATTTTTTTTCTTTCCATTTTTCTCAATTATTATTTAAGCTGCAAAATTCTCTATTGACCTCTATTTCTGGACTGCATTCTGAAACACACAAATCTGTATGATAATTTCCTGAACAAAAGAATTTCTTTCTGGAAATGAAGTTTTTACATTGCAGTCTTGTAGTGATTGTGAACTCGAAGGTATTTTCATGAACCTTAAACCTTCTTAGTTTTTACCATCGTAACTAGAAGCTTGACCATCTGAATTCAACAACTGCTTTTTTGGTGCTTGTGCATACTGAGATTCAATGCTGATGTGTTCATTGATATTAATTCCAAGTTAAAATCAGTGACAGGATTGAATGAGAATACTGACAGAAACAGGATATTGGTTGTGTCCAGGAAGGAAACTGAGAGAAGGACATGGAATTGTAAGTTTTCAGCGTGCTGTACTTCTAGTTTTGGAATTGCAATCCATACTTCAGATGGTGAAGAAAAATTTTTTTGCGCTATGTTGAAGACTAGTGAAACAGTGCAGCAAGGTTATTGTTCACATCACTGTTCATGTCCAGTTCAGTTTCATTAATTTGCTGAGAAGTTTCTTTGTTGATTTTCAAATGTGATCTTCTTGTATCTTTGATGTTAGGTATTTCATCTCAGTTTATGGCTTTATTTTAATTGTATCCATGTAACATGCTTCTTGTTTTGGGGTTTATGTATTATTTATTATTCGAAGGTAGTAGGTGAATGTAAAAGACTAGTACATACAACACAAGTCTGTATTGATGAAAAACGTCTGGAAATCAATGGAAAAACCTGAGCATCATCTTTAGCTCAGTTTATGTTATTTTCTTCTTCTTATTGCATGCTTCTCAAGATCATCTCTTGAGTTTTATGGTGATTTGAATCAGTTTTACTAACTGATCCTGCAAGTCAAATGCCTGATACGGTTTGATAATATGACTCCAGTTGTTGGCTTCCTGCACTTGCTCAGTTTCGAATGACCAAAAATCATCTAATGAATGTTGATTTTTTTCTTTTTTTCTTTTGTTTTTTGGTTTTTTTCTTTCTTTCATTTTTTGGTTTTTTTCACAAATAAATGGAGAGAAAATCTGGAAGGAGCCGAAGAGCAGAATATTATAAACTAAAATGGAGAGGAGTATAACACTCCAACTCAGATTTCTCATTAACAAACTCTGCTTTATATAGCAGAAAACAATCTAAAAACAATTCAAAAAACTTCTTATTTTGTCTAAGCAACTTTTTTACATTAAAAAAGCAACAATTAAAGTACATCTAAAACAAGTAAAAGACAACCACTTTTGCTGCATGCTTGCTGTGATTTTGCAGCCACTTTGCACTCTTTCATTTGCATTTGCATTTCATTTACTGTTCATTGCCGCTTCATTTCATCAACATTTGCAGTTTTGCTTACTGCACATTTTTGCTGTCATTTGACAACTTCATTTCCATCATATTTGCAGCTAAATTGCAGCCATATTTGCTATCAAATTGCAGCTTCATTTGCTGTCAATTTTCAGCCTCATTGCTGTCATTTCATGGCAGTTTCATTTCATCATTTTGCAGGTTTGAATGCCACGTTTCTAATAATGTTTCCAACAATTAAAAGTTCGGTTAATTTTGATGTCATCCTCCAGGTTGTGAAACTGCTGTGCCTTTGATGGTGGATCATGGATTCCTCCGTTCTTGTGTACAGATTCGAGGAAAACTTTGAATAACAGCCTCAATGTAGTAAGCAGCTTCTCCTATTTCCGAAACCCAATTCCGAACACTCTCGTCTCTATCATGCCTCTTGTCTACATCTTTTAGAAAGCACTGCATCAGTCTTAAGCTCAGTTTGCATCCGCTGGAGTCAACCCAGCATGCTCCACAACAGTATGGCTTCCTCAATCAGGAGGATACACAAACCTTTCCATAGGAAAGGGTACCACAGCCACTTCTTGGATCAAATTCTAGTGAGTTTTAAGCACTGTTGTGAGTCATCTTTTTTATCAAAAACACAAAAAATTTAGGTTCTAAGCCCCTTGGTGAGAAGTCAATAATTTTTGTTTAGTGTAGGTAACTTGCAGTGAAAATTCCATCTGCATCATTTTCCTTCCCCTCTAGTATGAAGACAAGTTGTTATGATATTGATGGGCAAGAAACCTCCAAGAAACTAACCTGCACTAAGAGAAAAGCTAGAGACTTTCATGACTCCTCAGCAAAACACAACTAGCAAGGACCTCAGAAACTCCTCTACGCCAAGAAGATAACAGCT